CAGCTAAGCCTGGTATAGTTGTCATATGTCTAAGTCTCTTTCTGGTATTCGGTATTTAAATTTCTTCCTCTGCATTTTGCTGCGGATAAGATGACACTGGGCATTTATGGTACTCAGAGAGGTACTGTTTTTCTCTTTATTTAAACCTTTCAAGAGAGTTACTGTAAAATTTAGCTATGCACAGTAAAAATCCCAAATGTCTACTGCAGGTAATAAATTCAATTTTCAATAAACCAGAGTCCAATCTGGCTTACTCTATTGTCCATAAATTTGTGACATCTCAAGGACTGGAAGACTTTACAGTGTCTCCCTCTTCTACTGCCACTGCTTGCTGTCCTATACTGAAGGAATTCACTGATTTTTTTTGAATAAGGTATCAGTAGTCTGCTCATTGTAGTCTTTACCTTGGATTTCTGGTTTTTCCCTAGGCCAGCATGAAATGTGTGAACATCTGAAGTGTCCAGCAGAGGGTCTTGCACAGTTCTTTTAGTCCCCCCTTCTTGATTGTGATCAGGAACACTGGGTCCCAGAACAGAAGTGCTGGCTTGTCATACTGCAACAAATCTGGAGAGAGAATCTTTCCAAAAATTGGACTCACTTTTCTAACGTTACCATAGCAACATCATCTGCACGTTCCTAAGTGAAAGTTTTAACTTAATGGGAATAGTGGAATTAGGGAAGGAGCACTTAGAAGCTTTAGATGTGTTCTGCTTTCCTAGACATCCATAATAATAATAATAATAATGTACTTTAACTTGAATTTATTTTAGGAAAAGGAATGAGAGCAAATGATTCTTTAGTAGCAGAGTCTGAGGTCTTTTAGCTATGTAATTTGCAATGAGTGCAAAAAGTGGTGAACACAGTTTGTAAAATTAAATTGGAACACACTGAAAGAAAGTACTCAGTAATTTTGTAGCTGCATGAACGACACTCTTGAGTGATAGCACTTTTCTGCTCTTAGCTTTATTTCCTCAGAAGAGTAAGATAAATTCAGATGGAGTAGAGGAGATGTGTTCAAATTAAAACTGCATCATTCAGCATAGGATTAGTAAGAACCTTGAATTAATTCACTGAGTGAGATGTTTTGACCCAGACAAAATGTTTGGGGCCTCAGCATCCCTAGAATGTGATACAGTAAAAGGATTTCCAGAAAATCCTTTTGGGAAAATTCAGATTGTACTTCAAGCTGGGGGCACAGGCCCATATCTGACTCATTTTTATTCTCTGAAAAGTTTTGGGGTTAGTTTGTATACATAGTGCTTTATAACTGAACAGGGGAAAGATGGTTTTCTTCTAAAAGTAAAGAACCAAATACCCACTGTTCATCTGATGATCATGCATATACCTTCTAAAAATATATTCACCCAAGATCTGCTTTTTGATTCCACAGTATTTTGAACTGAAGGTTTATTTGAGTTTGTTGTGCAAAGAATGGATGATGCATAGGGGTCAATATGGGGTTTATTCATTGAGAAGTATTTATCTACTACTGTGAACAGATTCCTGATCCAAGCATTGGATACATTGTCTTCTTTTATTTCCTCCTTAATCAGCTTTGCACTGTGATCAACATTCCAGCTTTTGCTTTTTTGCTGATTTTAGACTTGGAATGTTAAAAAAAATACACCCTTTACAAAGGAAGACCAAAATCAGTAATGCCAGGCTAAATCCTCCAGATTTTTAGCTACCTAGTGTTTATTAAGGATCCAAAGCTAATGAGTGCACCCAACTGGCACGTCACAAAGCTCTGCTTTTATGTTGGCAAAGCTGTAGGGCTTTTGTTGCTGCAAATAAGGTAGTATTGCAGTAGTTACTGCAGTGCTGTGGCTGCAGTAAAAAACTAGATGATAACTTAGCTTGAGTGGTTCTGGTTTTTTACAACTATGTTTTAAAGGAAAATGTTTTTAAACAGCTACTCTCCACACTGCATCAAGGATCCATCCTATTTAACAAGAACTGAATTCACGTTTAGACCTCAAAATTAAACAGTGATATTTTAAAAATACATAAACTGATTGGAACTTGCTGGTTGATAAGCAGTTTAGGAAACTTAGCTACTTCCAGTTCCATCCTAAATGGGAACTGCTGACTTCTTTGAAAAATCTCTCCCTTTAATTGTATATTTCGATTACTAACATAGGGCTGTAAATCTGGCCTTAAAATGGTAAAGTACAAAGCACACAGTTTCAGTGATTTTTGAAACCATGGAATTTTAATCTGCTTATTTGGTTTCATGTTCTTTGTTCTTTGCTATTTAAAGTTTGCACATATGGTTGTGCTGCTGTACAGTGCCCTTACCAGTGGTAGTTATCCTCAAAGCCTAGACTGCTGTCCCTTTGGTGCAGGAGTATGTCATGAGTTCAGGGCTGTTATTATCACTGAGTCTTTTGCATCCTTAGATTTTCTGCTTCTAAATCTGACACTGTCACAAACTACAATAACACCAGTCAAATGAAGTCTTCCCAAACCCACTGGTAATTGTCAGCTTGTGTAGCCATATGTGTCTGGATGCTGCCTAAGACAGAGATCTCTCTGATTCTTGTTGTTTGTATTTGGCTTGTCCATCCTAGGACATAATGCTACATAATGCTGCAATTAAAACATGATTTCTATCTAGAATATGTCAAAAGTTTCACACCCCAACACTGTGAGGACGTAACAGCGACCGGTGTTCTCTCGGTGACACTTTGGTAGCACCCGTTGCTCATGAAGAAGCTGACCAGTCTCAGCTTCCATTTTGCCCTGTAGGTTACAGGGAAAGGCATGGCATACACTGAGCTGCCTGAATTACAGGGTCATTTTGTTGGAAACAGAACCCCATTGATGGGTAGTCCAGGTCAGCATCGTTCTTTAAAAATAATGGAGTTCAAGGGCTTGTGGTGGTTGTAGCCACAGCAGTGTGACAGGAGACAGAGCTTGTCTTTAGGTTACATTATCCCAACTGCTATTTTGTCATTTCAAAGTCCAAACACATTTTATTAAAGGATTGCTTTATTTTAAAGACAGAGGAAACTTCCTTCTACCTAATGGACAACATAAATCAGCATGTGTGTGTTGGGAAGGGAAACAAAAGCCTGTATTTTTGGTTTGCCACAGAGTTGTTTGCAATGCAAAACTGCCTGTAATTTCAACCTACAAATACAAGCCTGATTACTGGGTTTGAGGGAAAGCTATTTTTGACAATTTGACCTCCTTGAGTGATACAGTTTTAACCACTTTGTGGAGCCCACTTCTTTGTAAGGTGCTGTGGCTACCAAAATAGCTGTGGTTGGTGTGTTGGTTGCCTGGTTGTACTTAGAGCACCATGGGCTCTTTCTCCTGTGTTGGTGGAGAAAACCATGTTATACAGCTAGAGAATCTTATTCTAGGCTGGGTACCTGCCCAGACTCAAGAAAAATCATGCTAAGAAAGTGCCTAAGGCTGTAACTGTTTAACCACACTTATTTTTGCATAGCAAAGGAATTTGATGTTGGAGTACTCTTTTCCAGTCTTGTTTTTAACATGTAAAATGTTGAATTGAAGTATTGAACTGTGAGATTTATTATCCCAAAGTTATCTGGCCTTACCAGTTTAGGAGATCAAGCAGTGGAATAGAATTCTGAAGAAGAAGGGCTGGTGTGGCAGTAAAAGACATAAATTCAGAGTTGAGAGTTAAGATTAAAAATAAGGGCAGGAAAGCATATCAAGGCATTGAAGGCAGCCATGGCAACCATAGAACTTCTTTGTCTTGCAATTTACATTGTCAATTAAAGCATTTAGGTCTCAGTTTTTATGAAATTAAGTTCTAAAAATTATTTTTCTTTTCCAGAAAAAAAAATTGCATTTTGTCTCATGTTCTAACTCTCCTTCCCTTGCCTTCATACGAAGGCAACTATAAGCAGAGTGTTCCACTGACTGAATTATTTCCCTATGAGATTTTGCTTTATCTCTATTTGAAAGGAGAGGTTCTCTTTTTTTATTCTTAGGGACAGAGATTAAAAGAAGTGCATGCCAATTCTTACACAGAGATTATTTTGCATTTTGTTTCAGGATTCATGCATCAGACATAAGTGTAGCTTAAAAATACTCTCCTCACTGATTCCTACTTAAATGTTTTCAAACTGTTACAAGGCATATGAAATACAGATCCAATTTAAAGGGTTTTGTGCAACCATGCATCACAAATATAGTACCTAGGTGAATCACAGATATTTATTTACAGGTCTAAAAATAGACTTAGTAGGTGCCTTATGAATAAAATATCCTGGTTGCCTGGAAGGCTCCAGACCTTGAGCGGTGCAGCTTTGGGATCCATTGTGATCAGCAATCCCACACCACCTATGAAAAAATGAGGGCTGGAGAACTACAGCTCAACTTTATAGTCTTACTAATTTTTAATACGAAAAAAATCACTGTGTTGCTATCAGCTCTGTGTTCCAAATTTGGTAGTTACATTCAATGCTATAAATTGTGAATTAAAATAATGTTTTAGGCAGTAATGCATCACTAGTGAAACTAAACCATGATGGTGTTATTTTACAAACAGTTGTGAGATAAAAGCATAACAATACTTACAACTCTCATGTGGATATTAAACTATATTTTAGCATCAGCTAATGTAACAGATTTTTAATATATAATAAAGCTTGATATGATTAATTTAGTACTAAATTGAAGAGAAACATCTGCCTATGAATACTGTATGAAAGTTATTCTTCCAGGCCCTTTTTCAGCAGCAGCCATGGCTGCCATGGATGTGTTACTGTTTTGATTTGAGGAGCTTCTAAAGGACAAGCAGTGTGTGCTTGCACTTCATTACACATTGCATGGTGTGATGTGCCACCTAGTGTTAAATTCCCCAGAAGGAGGAAAAGTGCAGGTGTCATCAACGGGGCACTTGGAGAGCTGGTGGATTTTCTGGAATGTTGGGTGTTCAGGAATATACTGTGTATGAGCAGCAGAGTGAGGAGCTAAGGTTTACGTCTGTTTTTACTGACTGTTTTTTAATCTTTGCTTTCCAGTGCTCTGGTCAGTAACCCTGGGTGTCTGTGGATACAGAATCTGCTCAAACACTTCCCAGCCACAGCCATGCATTTGGATATTTATGCCTCAGGTACTGTTGGTACCTGGGCCATCCTTGGTGAGAGTGCACTGTTTATGCTGTACTTAAAAAGAAGTTAAATTGAAGAGAAACAGTTTTCCAAGGACTTCTAAATGCATTTAACTGCATAGGCAAAAAACATAATAGCCCCCGAGATTCTGGAAGGATTACTCATCTGTTTTGTAATGCAATGGTGTACTCTGGTGATAAGCTCAGTTGGCCAACATTGCCTTACTCTGCTTCTATCACACAAGCAGAGATGGGATTTCATGCAGTCAGGTAGTGTGTTGCTTAGGAAGTGTATTTTTCTGAGGAAAAAAAAGTCTTCTGTATTTGAGGAAGGGAGGAGAGATTTTTTTCACCAATCCACATCATGGATTTAACTAAAAACTTTTAACTCGATGAACATCCATTCCAAATTATGTATGAATTTCAATTCTAACAAAGATAATGGGTTGAAGAGATTACATGTTGATATAGTCAAGAGTGATGGATCAAAATGTACCCCCATAGTGACGTTCTGCAACAGTTTCAGGATTCTGATTAATCCTGGAAAAGAGCTCGTAATGCTTCCCCACTTAACATAGATCTTAAAATCATTCTTTCATTGAAAAGAATTGAACCTTCCTTCTAAAAGCCAACGTTTCTGTCCTAAGGGCTGTGCCAATGCATAAATAATGTTAAACTTGAACTTTTCAGTTGAAAATTTGAGCTTCTGAAATAATACTGTTAAAATTCATAAATTAAAAAGCTTTCAAAAATTGTTATTTTAAGAAAGTGAAACAGAGCCTTGATTTTTAAAAGGAATATCTTATTGCTTATTAGGTATGATCTTCAAAACCACACTAAAAAAGGAATTTTAGCAATTCTGAAAGAATCTGAATTCATTACAGGAGTGGACATTCCCCGTCTTGATCATTAGTTGGGTGTGTCAGGCTGTTGTTGGTATTTTAGAATATAATTAGAAGCTATTTTGGTGTTCAAGACCTTTTACAAAGTTATTAATAGCTGGTGTCGGTGTTTTCCCTCCTCATACAATAACTCAATGATATGTCATTCTTTTTCATGAAAGCAAGAAGGAGAAATGGAGAAACTCACTACATCCAAGCTCTGGGTTTCTGATATTTATTTTCTGCATTGTGTTTATTTTCTAAATTAGCCTCATTTTTTAATGGTTTCGGGCAAAGCAGTGTAGAAGCAGCTTGTTTTGTGGTCTGGCAGCAACCTCATCTGAAATGGGAACTATTTAAAGTACTTGTCAGATAAATATAACTTTCTCTTCATTGTAGTTGAAGAAGGGAAATGGCTTTTGTGGAGAGTATTTTTACTATGGTGGCAAACTACAGAATCCCTGTATTTTTGAGTTAGCAGCAGTTGAATTAATAGAGTATGAATGGAAAATATTAAATGGTATCTCACACAAAAATGCAACACACTTTTATTTGGAAATTAATGTCAGTTGAAACACAGTAGAAAACTGCACATCTTGGGGTTTTTTACTGAATTGAATGCAATAAGTGTAAAGAGAGTAACTCTGAAATCTCTCCTATTTTTGTATGTATAAACATACAAAATATAACATTATTCTTGTTGCAGGCTCAATTCTGTAAAAACCTGCCCCGAGTCCTCTGTGTTTCCATAACCTGTGCTGTTCCCACTACCAGAGCTCTGTGCACAGCTGGGGTGGATCTGTGCACAACAGTGTTCACTGAGCCAGCTCAGGTCTTTCATAAAAACATTCTAGAGGGAGCCCTGACCAACCTCACTGGGACTCAGAAACTTCATTCCCTTGCAACAAAGTGAATGAGAGGAAGGTGGTTCTTCACTTGCACAGCACCAACCCAGAAAGACTCTGAAAGGTGACTGTCTAGGTCACAGAAAAGTGAATTTTGCTATCATATAGAAAGCTGTTAATTATTTCTTAGAGCAAAGCCAAAAAGTGAATCATACAATTCACTATCACTCAACCAAATTGGTGTCATACACCTTTCAGTGGATATTCACATGGACATGCCACTCACACTCACAGTTTTTAAACCTTTATTAAGTATGCACAAAAATTTAGGGTTATCTGACTAACATTTTGAGTCACTGAGGTTTAAAAATATTACCTCACAAAATTAGCTTTTACTGGAATCATAATTAGAGTTGTAGAAAGAGTGTGAAAGAGCAAATTGTTCTGTTCATTAGAAAATCCATCTCCAGAGCTCTAATTTCCCAATATTTATTGGTAGTGATGATATAAGTATTGTGTGTAGCAGAAGGAGCTCAGCTTGACTATTCAGATCCCAGATGGAATTTGAGCTGCTGGCAGTTTAAAAATTCTATATTTGAATTACAAATTCCTTTAAATGTTGATGCAGAGGAATAATGACGGAACAGGAAGAAGTCAGAATACTGGAAGAGTAGAAGTGATCTGAATATATTCCCTTCCACTTCAGCTAACATTCTGCTGCCCTGACAGTGTCTGACTAACAGCCTGGAATGTCAAACGGAGCACAGGATGGCTCCTATCCCCCAGCCCAGGATGCTGCTCAGCCAAGCCATTAGTTTATGGAGCTCTTCAATGTGTATTAAGTCACATTAGGACGCAAAATACAGTTTTTCATGTCAAGACCTACAAAAATCTTAATACAATTTTCATAGACATTTAAAAAGAAGGACTTGGCACAGCAGATTTCTGGAATACTGCTACACTGGCACTGAGTTTAGCTATTCTTAACCTGGCTGCCTGTGTACCTTTTAGTGTCAAAGCTTTGGGGGATGTAAGCTTCTGCAATGCTGTACTAGATATAAAGGTTATGTCATATCAGTTGACAGAAAACATCATACCTGCCACTATGCACAGGAGGAAATAAACTCTGCAAAATGGATGTATTGAGGGAGTCTGAAAGAAAAAATACAAGTGTGTGTCATTTTGCTATAGTTCTTTTAATGCATAAAACAAAAAGCAATGATGGTGTCTATTTACAAAAATTATACACAGCATTGAATATCGCTTTGAAACATGATTCTAAGAATGCTAAGCCATGTCTACAACCTTCAGTAAATGTGTGTTTAGTGGTTGGGGATAATATCCAGGGCAAATCTTGACAATAGCTTACACTTGACATGCAGATTAACTGACAAATCGTATAAATATATTCCAAAATGAACTTGGATTAGGTTATGATCTCTGAGTACTTAGTTTGACTTTCTCTGTAGGTCACCTCAAGTTACTTCCACATAATTCTACGTGCCACCTGCTCTTGTTGATAAAGTACTGACTGAAGTAATTTGGTGGCCTGGGCAGCCCCTGCCCTCTGCCAGACACGCAGCAGCTGAGCCCGGGGGAGCAGAGTCAGCTGCTTCGGGTGGGGTTTGCTTGAGGACTCCCAAAGGCTCTTTACATGACAGAAGTGACTGTATCTTTTACATTCTCTTTGGAGAAACAAGAGGAAGAAATACACATTCAGGTTTGTTGAATGAAAAAACCCCACTGCAAGTATTATTGCCATGGCTCTGTGTGTCTGCAGCCTCTCTGCCAGAGCAGACCCGGGGTTCTGTCAGGGGGAACACTGTGACAGAAGGGGGACTGCCAAATACACAGAGGCTGGAAAAGTCCTGGAAAGAATATACAGAGAGGGAAGGGAAGGGAAGGGAAGGGAAGGGAAGGGAAGGGAAGAAGAGAGAGAGAAAGAAGTGTACAAAGGACAGGAAGAAGGAATGAGCAAATGAGCATTATGAATACATTTAGGGAAAAAATAAAACAAAAGGGGAGGACCTGATAACAAGATAGGAAATTACAAATTAAAGATAAAGGATATAAAGATAAGAGAAAAGCATTCTTACACACCCAGAAGCAAGCAGTGCTTTGTAGAATCCTTAAGTAATGCAAAATTATCAATGGAACCTCATTATAGATTAGAGCATATAAGACTTTAAGCTAGCCTTATGCTTTGACATGTTTGTTATCCACCCTGGTGTAACATACCTAAAACCCATCCAAAAATGTGCTGCCTGTCACGTGTGATCTCCTACTTTCTTTAGAACCTGTTCCCATAGCAACATTTCTATCTCATTATAGCCTAGGTATGTAAGTATAGCAAATTAAATTTACATTTCTATGTGTGCTCATACCTTTTTTTTGCCTGAAAAAACCCCACACGTATTGTGTGGGTACTCAGATGGCAAACTGTATGTATATTTTGGAGGCCAGGATGCTTGGTTGGGATCTTTTCTCACCCAGAAATAAATAAGCACTAGAACTTAATGAGGAAATACATTTAAATAATATCCCGAGGCTGGAAAACCTAAAGCTATAAATTAATTTCATAATTAGCTGTATATTTTTAAAGGTTTCAAAACATATTTTTGAAAAGAAGAAATGTTCTGTGGAAGTAGATTATGAATTTCAAACTTGAAATTCTGTCTGTTTTAAAGACTTACATTTAAGTTGCATATATATCATACGTCTTGAATTAGAAGTGTTGTGATAACCCAGTTGCAGCTTTGTACAGTTCTACATGTTGAATTGCTTTAATGGAGAACTACTGGCCTGTGATCACACCTGTAAACATTCTGATTGTGCTTTTTTCTTGTCAGGGTTCCCTCAATAGTAGATACAGAAACCATTGTCATTTTACTTAGATTAGAGAGTTAATTGGGTATTTTAAAAAGTAATTACAGTGATTGGGTTATGGAGTCAGAATTCTAATGAGAGGTGTTTGTGTTACTGAGAATGCAAAGTGTGATTAACAATTCCTGGCTCAAATACTGGCTTGCAAAACTGGCAAGTTAGAAAGCAATAAAATAAAATACACAATAAGCTTAAAGGGCATAAACAACCTTCATACCAGCTCTCTTCCTTCATTTATCAGTGGAAGTAGAATGGTAGTATGCAGTGGTAGGAAATGCTGGGTGGTGCAGCCACCTCATCCTGGAATTCGCTTGGATACAGTGCAGCTGTAGTTCCACAGCTTTTTCCAGCTCTTTCAGAAAGCTACTGAGTGTTTTCAGGGAAGCAGAGCAGCTGCCCAGGAACTAAGTCTCAGTTTTACTATGCAGAGCAGACAGTTGTTTTTCAGCAGCTGAGGCAGAAAGAGTACTTTGTCTTCCCACAGGAGTACTTGGCTAACTGTTAATGTGCCTTTTAGGTGATCTTATGTAACAGCTTTGGATGCTTTAAATGTTCCAGACTTCATACAGAACTTTGAAATATGCTGTTTATTACATTTGTAGAAGGAAAGGATAGGATTACAAAATCACATGTATGAATTTTCTAGGGCTTAATGCTCTAACCATTGCTGATTTCTGATAGCAGTCATGCTAATACACATTTAGCACATTAAGAGGCTCCCTCATTAGCACTCCTCTTACTCTTTTTCCCACCCTCAGTATTGTTTAAGGAACTGCCCTGGCATAAAGAAAATGAGCAAGAACAGGAAGCAACTGCCCTTTGCTTCAAGCTGCAGATGATGTGCTCACGTTCTTTGGCACCTACAAGGCAGGAGTGTTGGCTTTGTGCACCTGCTGGGGAGAAGACAACTCGTGGGGCAGGGCTGGACCCAGCTGGGAACGAGGCTTTTCCTGGCTTTGTAACTAAAGGGTTTAACGGAGCTGGAACACTGTATTGACAGCCCTGTCAAATCCCAAATGGCTCCCCGGGTAGTTAGGGGGGTGTGCTGCAGGTTGCTGGTGGAAGGAGTGTTTCCTGGCACTTTGCTGGGGTTTCAGCATTCTGACACGTGCCCTGAAGGGCAGTTTTAGACTGCACCCAAACACTATGCTTTAGTGCCAGCCAGAGCAGCTGCTGATGTAATATTACTCTGTAATTTAGTGCTTTTCTTTGCAGTTAGGGAGAGAATAATTTTTAAATGAATTTCCTTTCTCCAGAAAGAATTATTACTTGATCCAGAAGAATTATGTGGTGGTATTTAACTAGTGGTATAAATTCTTCTTTTTTCAGACATTGACAAAGAAGGAGAAAACATGAGATGGAACATATCAGAAATATTAATAAAGGAAGAGAACTTACTGATGTGTTGCAAAACCTTTCCAAGGTAATTTATCAACATTTCCAAAAAAATATGTAAATTGTCAACAGTGGTATGAGACTCCTTCTTTAACAGCTTATTTCCGGATTAAAGGAGTACAATGAACTTACTTTTAGATTCATAAATCCAACAGATTTTTAGTTATTGCAGTTGGGTCACAAACTGAAATATTCAAATAAACACTGCTCTAAATATTATCCTAGATTTTTAAAAGGTTCATTTAGATTTAAAAGTGTGGTTAGTTTAAATTCTACTCCTGTCTAGTGCCTTATTTTAAACAAAGATATGGTTGGTAGATTTTGTTGAAGTGTGATGCAACAAACAGTGGATGTTGGGAATTACTCTCATCTTTCTAGAATCTTTTTTGATCTAACATTGCCCTGAGCAACCAGGACTTAGGAGACTTTGTAAAGCACCATAGGAATGAACATTGGCAATTTTTTAAGTCATGCTGAGTCCAAGAACATCATGATCCTTACAGAAATTAAAATCTATATAGAGCAAATTATACTACTTAATATAAAGTTAACAGAACCTCCCCAGACACAGTGAATTACTGTTACCTGCTGTTTGCCATTCTCTAGGCAGGATGTCTTAGAGCAGAAGTGTCTCAACAAATGTGTAGTACTGGTTCAGAAAACACATGCTACAGGAAGTGGGGGTTTTTAACCTAAAAAGTCTGAACTCTCTTCCTAACTGCATGAAGCAGTTTACAATATAAGTTATTAGAAATAAATTACCTGGTCCTCTGAATAATTTACTCTACCAACACAAAAAAACAAGTACATGTAAGTTGATTCTAGCAATTCATCAAGATACAGTTGTATGTCTGAGGCAACATTTCCATAGAAATCTCTTTAATTGCCCTGCATTAAGGGAGTCTGTTCAACTGTGGTAGAACAAAGTAAAACCAGAAAGCATGAATAATGCAGTATTGAGTATAACTTGTGGTTACACTTCAGCGTTTTCCAGTTCTCAGTTTCTAGGGACATTAACATTTCAATCTGCATACATTTTTGCATATGGCAACACTTGATTGATTAAAAATATACCAAGGCTCTAAACCACAGCATGTTGCAGTGGAAACCAGGTTTAGTAGTCTGTGTGATGAATTCCCAGAATCAGGTGAAGTGTGCAGCATTAACTGAGAGATTTTTTTGTATTGCTTTTTTTTCCTGTATTCAGGTAATGATGAAATATAAATGGTAGCATATGTAACAATGATAAATGCAGAAATAACTGATCCAAAGCTGCAAAATAGCATTTCACACGTTGGCTTGTTCTGTAAATCTGCACAAATCACTTAACTCTGCATTCCTGCCTTGCTCAGTCCAGCTGTGTGTGATGATAATGGAACCTGAGTGTCTTATGACTGACTGTAGGTGAAAACTGAACAAACTTTTACTGTATGAAGCAAAGAAGGGGGAAGGGTTCTCTGTTCACTCCAAAGGGAACAGGATGTCAGGCAGTGTTTGTGTGCTATTGAAATGCTAAACAGAGAGGAAGCCTTAGAGGAGCAGCTGAGGTCACTTGGTCTGTTCAGCCTGGAGAAGAGGAGACTGAGGGGTGACCTCACCGTGCTCTTCAACATCCTCCAAAGGGGCAGCAGAGGTACCAATCTCTGCACTCTCATGAGCAGGCACAGGCCCCTGAGCTCAGCTCACCTGCTTAGAGCATGGTGCTAACAAAACCCAAGGTATGATCCCCCTGTGGGCTGTTCACCCAAGAGCTGGCCTTGATGACCCCTGTGGATGCCTTTCAACTCAGAGTATTCTGTGATTCTAACTCGAGGAAGTGGCATCAAGCTGAGTCACAGGAGGTTTAGGTTGGATATCAGGGAAAGGCTTTTCACCCAGAGGGTGGTTGGGCACTGGAACAGGCTCCCCTGGGAAGTGGTGACAGCACCAAACCTGCCAGAGTTCCAAAGTGTTTCAGCAATGCTCTGAGGCACATGGTGGGATTGATGTGCAGGGCCAGAAGTTGGACTCAATGATCCTCATGGGTCCCTTCCAACTCAGCAAATTCTGTCATTCTATTTTCATTTACAACTTCATACATGAAAAGCTTGTCACCTGAATCATCTACCTCTATGTCTAGCTGCATTAAGTACTTCAGACCTTTGGTTTAAAAAGCAGCAAGCTGTGCAGATTCAGATCAGGTAGATTATCTTGAGGTGTTTACCTTGCATTGTTTAATAATACTACCTTTCTAAACAAACAAACAAAAAGAAGTGCTACTGAATTCTAGGGTTGCATATCTGAGGGTTAGCAGACTTTCTGCAGGGAGGTGGCTGCATTGAATCAGCCCTGATCTGACAAGCATGTGTTGCTATGGCAATGGAGACTATGGAATGTGAACATGCTGCTTCAGCCATGTGACAAATACGAAGCCTAAAATCTCTGATACGTATTTTTATTTTTTTAAAGCATGGGTCTGTTATACTTTTCCCATTAAAAATTGATAGCAATGAACCTTTTTCTTCTAATATTTTGAGTGATTGAAAGCTCACTTTGGCACTTCAAACTTGCCTATAGTGTATTTTTATAAATAAAACACCTTGGCAGGCGGAGGTTGCCGGTGCTCGTTCCAGTGTGACTTCTGTTGTCCCAAGGAGAGTAGTAAGATATTCCTTTACTAATTCTTTAGTTGCTAGATCTTGGGTTATTGATAGTGTATGTTTGATTTTGGTTTTGTTCCTTTCCCCTTCCCCCTTCCCTTTCCCTCTTCCTTTCAGAAATTGTATATAATATTTCATCTGCAATGTATGTAAATACATTCATTTTCATATAAGTTTGGCTAGTTTGGATCTTTCCAAACTAGTTTTTTTTCCTTAGCACTGTGCTGGAGGTTTTTTTTGGTGTTGGGTCAGGGACTTGGCAGTGAGCCAAGTAAAACTTAGGGACAAAAACAGATGGATTTTTGTGTCTGAATATCACAATCCCTTTTACATCCAACAGTCTACTGCAAATAAATTGGATTTCAGTGGGCAGTTTTGCTTTGTAGCATTTCTGCAAGGTAGCTGTGTTTGATTCTGTGGAGCAGCTTGGCTCTTTGCAGTCTCAGAACTACACGCTACATTGTTTGCTCTGATAATGACATGAAATGCTCATTATTTTTTTCCTTTTCCTTGCTATATCCTTTTTTGAGTTTATGACTACTCATTTCCCAAATGGTATGGAATTCTTTAACTGTATCCACATAAATCCCACCCACAGCTGCTTCCCCCATGGGATCACTGAGCAATGAGCACCCACAAATACAATGTCCCACACGTGCCCCAGGGGGAGGATGTGCCTCCAAGGGCCCCAGAGTGTCTAGGCAGATTTTCAGCTCTCACCAGAGCCGTATTTTATTAACCTCACCTCGTGTCATAAATCTTTGCCAGGTGGGTTAAAGATCACTTTTCTACAGGCGTTTTTGTAAACCCTCAAGTGCAAAGGCCATGATGATGTTGGTCACCATGAGCTTCTGGCAGAGCTGACACAGGACAACTGAAGTTTGTAAACAGGAGTTTGTTGTTGAACTGTAGCAAAATTGTGGTACATCTTTGGGAATCCTGGCTAATAACTGACAACTGCAAGCTAGGTTTGGAACTTGCACTGGCAGTTGGTTATCATCTTTCAGCCAAATTTTACGTCTTAAATTTAAAGAGGAGGTGGGAGTAAAGACAGGTTTGCATTAAGAATGTAGCACTTCTATTCTGCCTTGAAATAACCCTGTGAAGTAAGAGTGCTTAGGAGGTAAAAACTGGAACAAGTAATTGAATACATAAATAAAGAGTAAGGAGAATTTTTCAAGTGATTCAGTACCTTCCTCTGTTCTGAAGTTTGCCCAAGCACTCCTACATACCACCTCCTGTGGTGCAGGACATTTTAATGTAGTGTGGGAGGTTAACATACAAATCCCTACTGACTGCACTTGTGCATGGCTTCCCACACACCTTTGGAAATAAGTTCCCTTATTCAGAAAAGTTAATGAGTATTATAGCTGTGTCCCAAACGACAAGTGCAGTGGGTAGAAAATTACCCATTATGTCCATTTTTAATTAAATGGCATTTCATAATTTTTAACTTTACTTCTTAGATAAGTTTGTGAACCAAGTGTGAGCAGTCAGTAAGACAGAGGAGTGGTCTTGTGCTGAGGACTGGAAAGCTTGATGCTGCATCTTGAGACAAGTACCTTGCCCAGGGTTAAGCCATGATATTGGTGAAGTCAAATTTGCTCTGATGTTGAGTCACTGCTTGCACTGATGACAAACACAGAGCTTAGGAGAAAACTAGGAATCCTCTGCAATTCATAACTAATACAGTACAGATGACATGACAACACCAAGGAAGTAATTAACAGCTTATCAGTAGCAGTTTCTGAGCAGTCTCTCAGCTTTCAATGACATGAATGCTTTAGGCTGCTTCACTCAGCACAGTCCAACATTTGCTGAAGGCAGCCAGAGCTTCCCAGTCTGGTTTTGTGCAATGAGTTCCTGGTTCACAGCTGGAACTCAGAGCTGTTACAGTGAAACAGATGGAATGTAAGGTCAGGTCTAAGCCTTACAGCTCTTATTATTTATCACAACTTGACTAATTCCAGCAGATAAAAATATGGCACTCCCTGTGTTCAACCTGCCACTTCTCTGCAAGAAAAAAAGTGTTTTTATCGATCATGTGTTTGTACATTTCTGAAAAGTCAGTAGGAGCCTGCCCATACCTTCTACTCATTAGTGAAACCAGACAAATCAGTTTAACTACTCAATTTACTAACAGGAGTACAGGAAATAGAAACAAACAATAAACTACAACAAATTAAATGGTTTACTGTATTGATTTGAAACAGTCAGGAAAAAATACTGACTGAACATACACTTAGCATTTACAAAAACTTTTCTGAAAGGAGTAAGTATCTTACTCTATTCCATTAATGTATCTTGCTTCTTAAGGACTTGATGCTAAATATTTATTCCCAAGAAAAGCCTCAGATTAAGTCTAAGAAAACTTTTTCAAGTAGATTTG